ACGGACTTTTAAAGGTAAGAAGAAGTTTAAAGATTTATATTGCGGATATTATCAGTAGTGATGGCAAAATGAAGCTTTGAATGAAGCGTCGAACCACTTGGACAATTGTGTCGGAAATAGGTTCATTTCTCGAAGCTTCAGTTACAGCGACCTCTCCTGGCGAAGTGCAAGGCTGCAGTGGGTTTAACGTATCTTTGCCTTGAAAAATATTCGACACACACACACACACACAGAATATCATGTTCTATTTGCAATTAAAGATTGATAATTGTGTGTATTGGGTTATTGAGAAGAGACTAGAGAGTGCAAGACATGTTTTTGGGTGGAGAGGGCCTTTTATCAGTTATTAAAGTATTAAAATTGAAAAGCAATGATTACAAATGTAACTATTCCGGGCTTTGAACCAGGTGCGAGGAGAACATCGCTGCATCCTGGCCGCCGGCTCTATCCACTGGGCTATCTAATCCTTCGACTATTTAAGTGTTTTTATATTACTCATTTTCTTTTTGTTCCCAGCTTCTCCACATTTCGAAGTGTTTCACGAGCCATAACGACATATCTTTCTTCCTGGCTTGCTCTATAATGATCCAATTCAAATGCAATGCCAACAGCAACAACGTCTAAACTACGACAACAACCCACACATTGCGCATTGTTTAGAGCGGTTATAAAGTGTTGAAGCGCTCAAATTTGAAACTGTTTCAACCTGTCACCTGTCAGAATCGAGACGAGGCAGTGCATTGAATCCATATACTGTATATATAAACCAGTGAGTTGATTCATTCAGGAAATGAAGCAGTTGCTGCTTCGGACGTCACATGTCACGTGATTTGAAGCAGTTACTGCTTCGGACGTCACATGTCACGTGATTTGAAGCAAGCTGTTGAAGCTCCGTTCGAAGCTTCAGTGTCAAACTGCCATCACTAATTATCAGTACATCTGATTCAATTGAACATGTGTATTAAAGGATGTCAGTGGATTATCCCTAAATTAGTAGATTTAGGGAACGTTTACAGATAACAGATCAAGCTAGGATACCGAAGCAAGTTAGCAACACACGTTGAACAGCCTTTTAATTGTAAATTCCGTTCTCTTAATGTCTATTTGGTCCAACGTTGTTGAATTAGAGAAGAGGGGCTTCTAAACGGGATTGTATGCGGGGGTGGAGGGAGTTAAATATTAGATAAATATAACTTTGGTGCGTGTAAGAGTGAGTGTTTTTAGCAGAGCCATATTGTGTCCTTGTGATTATGTTGATTATTACCTGTGTGTATAATGTTGCAACTCAGCTGATTTTGGATTGATGGCAAAGGGAGAGGAACTTAAGTGAGAGTGAACACACAAGGTAAGTTTAATACTACTGTTTTATATAAGTAAGCATACTAAACATGTATTCTATCACTGTATTATATAAGTAATCTTGTTGGTAACCTACTGTATGGCAGGTGGAGGGGCAGTGATGTTACAGGTGGAGGAGCAAAACTGCAAGACTGCAAACTCACAAGACAGAGAAATCGAAGTTTGTTCTCCAGAGAAGAGGTTGATTTCACTTCAATTTTTTCATAGGTGTGCTATATAGGTGTGTATAACCCTTTCTCCTGTCTGTTTATCCCTCTTTCAGCACAAGAACCAGAGGGGGATTCAATGGAGCCTGAATACCTGCACTGAGACCCTCACCCTGCACCCTGAGTCTCAACTCTCAGTGTTTTTCAAGCCTTTCCCTGTTTTTTGTATTAAACAAAACATTAAGCTTTCCCAATGGTGTGGTTTTCGTTTTGTGAAAAAGTGCAAATGCAGTGTTTGTATATAAATCACATATTTTTTTGCTGTTGGTTGTGAAATTGCTCCTGCTTCCTCCGCTCTGTGTCAGTGGGGAAGCTGTACATTCGTACTCCTTTCTCTGAGCGATTGGAGCATCCCCAGGCAGCACAGCAAACCATGGTGGCGACTAGGAGGCAGCACAGCAAACCATGGTGGCGACTAGGAGGCAGCACAGCAAACCAGGACAACAAGGAGGAAAAGGCACAGACAAACTGCATGATATGCTATTCAATGTTTATTGAATTCCATGTATTTGCAATGGATGTTCCTAAAACAACACATTTAACATCATCATCATCATCATCATCATCATCATGCTGCTGCTAGTCCTTTGATAGTCACCTGTCGGTCTCCTGTCCTTTCTGAAAGCCATAAAGATGACATTAGTCATTTAGATAACTTGTGTCCTCAATTACCATGGGATTACTGAAACTACCATGAATTTAAGAAAATGGTAGACATTAATCTAATCTGAATTTTAAAGCATTACTTTAGATCCCCTCCCTCTAAATATATCAATAAACATTAGAAAGTGATGCTCCTGACTACCATACAAGTTTAAGAAGATAATATTGGTTTTAAAGAATTCAAAGCTATAAATAAACAGCAACAGGCTCTTTAACCAAGGCACTGTTAGCCTAACATGTAAACTAGTTGTTCACACTAATCCTAATATTATCACTTAATATTAGCAAATTCTATTTTATTTTTTAAAACATATTGATGTAAATACATACACATATCGATTTGTTGTATACATATTGCAAATCAAAACCTTTATTCACTAATAATTACCTAAAATCGTAGTTCTATCTCCTGTTATCAATGCATTCACATTGCCCGCCATGAACTTCCGGGGAACGATCCTCTTCTACATGAACCACGTGACGATAACCGTTTTTGGACTTCCGATGTCGTAACTCTTCTATTATATGGCGCTGCTGCCTTGCTGTCCTCTGGCAGGTACTGGGAGTGTCGTCCTGTTTGTGCCCGCCCATCTAGAGGCGGAGCCTCAAGAAGGCCTAAAGGCTTGCCCAGCTGGGAGGTTCACTTTCTGATCCTGGCCTGCTGCAGCAACCTCAGCCTTCCACCTGTGTTTGTATTTTCACAAATAGAATAAAGATTTCACAAATCTGAAACTGTGTTATAAAGAATCTTTAGACCCTCTGGAATAATCCAGTTCAGATTTGATGAGTCTAGGTCTAGTGGTTTTAGATCAGGACCTGGTCTAATGTGGTCTAGATTAAAAAAAAGCACTGAAATCTCCCTTGTTTGTATTTTCACAAATATAATTAAGGTTTCACAAATCTGAAACTGTGTTATAAAGAATCTTTAGACCCTCTGGGATAATCCAGTCCAGATTTGATGAGTGTAGGTCTAGTGGTTTTAGATCAGGACCTGGTCTAATGTGGTGAAGATGCGAAAAAAGTACTGAAATCTCCCTTTTTTTTATTTTCACAAATAGAATAAAGGTTTCACAAATCTCAAACTGGGTTATAAAGAATCTTTAGACTTTCTGGGATAATCCAGTCCAAATAAATCGGCTATGCAGCGATTTAAGAGGTTCAAACACGGAGGATTGTTCGCTCGGCGCTGTAAATTAAATGTCCCTTAACTTTCCCCTTAACTGCCGAATCGGATGCTCTGAATCGGAAGCCAACTTCAGCGTCGTTTGAGTCTGCATGTGTGTGTCATCATGGCAATGTGGTCCTGAAGACACACAGAGGTGGTTTTGAGTACTAGTGTTTAAATGCATGTGGACAGATTTAGTAGATAAGTTTTAGTGTATCTTCTCATCTTTTTTGCAGGTTCCATACAATACTTGAACTGGTTAAGTGAAGAGCAGAAGCCACTTTTCAAATGTTACACAATCCTTTTCCCATGCCATTGCTGTCAACACCTATCCATGCTGAACGTTGCTAAGATATTATTGATTGGGGTGTGGCCAAAAGTCCAATATGCTTCAAAATGTAACTGACAGAGATCAGTGCGTTTGTCCTGTGTTTTTACACTGGGCCCATGGATTTTATTTTATTTCAAGATTTTTAATTACGTCGCTAAACTCTTTGAAAAGGTCCTCTTCCTTTTCTCCAAGGTACACGACAAGGCAGCAGATGGCTATAGTTCTCTGCGTACTTCAATTGTATTGTGCTATTTTTGAAAAAGGAAAATAAGAGAAATTACCTAAATGAATATATTCTGAATGGGTGACTGCCAATAACTTGCATTTCAATGACAACTCTAAATAACGATCCTACCTCAAGAAGCATGTCCTTGATCTGCTTCACCGAGATTCATTTTTAATAAAAAGCGATATCACAATAGTAACCAAAGTATTTTTACGCTCACAGTAGCCTCTACTACTTTGTACATATAATAAAAATAGCCTACAGTAGAGACACTTTACAGCAAATACAACAACACAGATTGTTCAGAATATCAGTATGAGGAAAAACGACACCCTCTATCCTTAGACCCTCACATCGTACAAGGAAAAACTTCCAGAGAAAACCTACAGTTTAAGGGGAAAAAATGGGAGAAACCTCAGGGAGAGCAACAGAGGAGGGATCCCTCTCCCAGGACGGACAGACGTGCAATAGATGCCGTGTGTAAATCGAAGAGATAATACATTTTACAGCATATAGACCGAATGTTAGGAAATGCATGTGTCTGTAATAAGAAGATGAATCCACGAGGATGTCAGCTGAAAGGTCGCCTGAATTCGTTTTTAGAGTGTATGATTTTTTTATCCATATCTTTTTACATGCTATACATCAACTTCTTTCATGACATTTTAAACATACCATACTGTGATTTAAAAAAATAATTATTTTCAACATACTGTAATATGACTTTTTCAACAGATTATACCTTGACGTTTTCCATATTTAACAAAAACCAAACTATGACTTTTTCCTTGATGTTTTCAACATACTATATTATGTTTTTAAAGATTGTAAGCCTAATTTAAATTACCTAAAATAACACCTATTGTTTTTCAGATTCCAAGCACACCTAAATCTGAACAAACAATAATTATCAAAACCAGTGCACATGCAGTACGGTTTATACAACACTGTGCAGATCTAATAAATAAATCTGATTCAGCAGTGCTACATCCTTTAGTTAGCAAATATCGCATAATAACGTTCCATTAATAAAGACAAACAGAGTTGAGGTTTTTATATCAATGTATTAATGTTTTATTCTAATTACAATAAACAGAATATATCAGTCCCTTATTTGTACAAAAATACCTGAAAAGGTTACAATTAAAATGTATAAGCCATTCAACTATTTACAGAATTAAGCAAAGCACATTTCGAATACAGGAGCTCTCTCTGAAAAAACGAGATAAGTTACTGTTTTCTTTTTTGCATTCCCTGAAATACATAATAGTTTATATTTTCATATATAGATATATTTTTTCTTTACTCATTTGTACAGCCACGGTAACTTGCAATGTGACAACATAGTGAAAATGCATGAGTTGAGATGATAATTGATTAATCCACTTTTGCAGGATCGGCGCTAATTCACTTCCAACTCCAAAAACAAACTGAAACCATATTGTGTACTTGTATTTTGAGTTAAATACAACTCAAACACGTTTTCTCTGTGTTTGAGTTACACTAGCTTTGTGTCTTTTGGTCCACATTTTAGATGTAGTTTGTGCAGAAAAGAGAAGTCATCAGAGGCACCATCGTTGTGTTACCTGGCAACCATAACTGACTTTGCCCTTCTCTATTAGGAATTGTATTTACATTTTTTGCATGATTAAATTGATCAGATAACATTACAATTTCGCATGATTTAATTGAAATATGAAGATTTCTTAATGAATAGGTCACCCGTTGTTGCCATATGATAACTGTGGTTAAATTGTCAAAAATGTTCGAGATAGGGTTTTAATCAGCTCAGGTAACCAAGCAAGTATTGTAGGCGCTTTTTTTTTTAATAAACAGCCTAAACAATAAAATGAACAACACTGTCAAGTGTCCTTTTTAAATAACACTGGATTTATTCCATTTTCTGCAAGTATATTTTTCAAGTATTCACAACTAGCAGAATGGTGGTGCACTTAATGAAAGAAAAGTATGTTGTGACCACAGAGTTTACCAAACCTAAGGTAATTATAAATTCCTTCTTGTACACAACAGTCCAAGAGAGCTGATGGACCAGTAGTTTTAACACGCTCCAAGTCAACCCTGAGCAACCCAGTTACATTCATTTCTGTTAAGTATAAAAACGTGGAGTTTCTTTTTTACGTGTTCGAATTGAAGTTACCTTCCGTCTTTTTCATTCAGAGTAAGTGGATATGCAAATACTCACTCATCCTTAAAGGCTAACTTTCCCTCACAGGTTGACATCTGATACCATTCACGTCATTCAGGAACAATAATCAAATATTGGGACTTTAAAGATGATTGGGCAGGCTGAATCAAATCTTAGGGGATTTTAGACTACATCATTATTTATGTATTATTATGTTGTTCAGATTCTTAAAAAATATCAACAAATCAAATATCAGTGACATTATATGTACATAAAAAATCCACATTCATGCAAATGATAAAACCTATCTAGCAGATTAAGATGCTTCATTCTGCTGAAAGAAGGTCGACAGCGGTGCTCTGGTGTGGTTCGATTTATCGGTGTGGAATATCCACTTCCTGTTCATTGCAGTTTTAAGGGGATTAAAATAGTGACTATGCCTTACTGCGCCCATATGTGAGTAGGGACTGCTGTTATGCATTTCTTTAATTATATCTAATCTAATCGAACGTTTAAATTGAAAGTAAAGGGCTTTTTTTCTAAATCTAAATTTCTACAAATCTTGGTTTAAACAGTGCATTATGAGAATGTTGATTGACCTAGTTTCCCAAAATATTTGTGACTTCACTACTTTAAATAATTACTATTGTTCTAGTTTAGGTCACCACAATCGAGTGACGATGAGAGCACTTGAGGCCTTTTAAAGTAAAGGGGTTAAACATTTTAACAGAAGATATTTTAAAGGTCTGAGAGAAATGAGAAAAGCAGGAAATACAATATTGTTCATGCTTTGGGAAACTTTTCAGTTTAACAACATTCCACTTGGCATCTATTGGAATGATGTTAAAACTATGGATGCCAGTGTGCTTTTAAACATCAAGTATTTATGATGAAAAAATAGTTTTTGAATGAACCAAAACAAAAACAAAAAACAATAGATGCTATTTCATTACAATAATAACAATTATATATCACACTGGTCAATCATTTCATGGTAATGACAATAGAAAACAGTACAGAACAGCGCAGAGAAAAAAAAGAAATCTAAAAATTTCAAGTAATCAGTCACATGGAGATAAATAAATACATTTTGCTGCAACAATACTTTAAAACAATTATTGAGTCATTGCATCTTAGATAAATAATGGTGACCATGCACAGAGTCAATATAGTGAGGCTATTCTGCATCACAGAAGACCAATAAACCTTGAGATAACCTGCAGGTCAATAAATCATGACTGTTGAGTTTGCATTACAGGTACGTAAAAACGGATATCTAACGGTCTGCTGGCTGGTGGCCACACCACAGCTGACACCAACGTTTTGACTACATACAAATTCAAATGTGAGTTTCTAGAAATATCCCAGATTGAGATTAAAAGTGTGTGGTGCAACTTTAAAAGACAGTGACTATGAACCGAATTGTGACAGACTTTGAGTAGGAATATCATCAAAATACTTCCAATAACTGAGGCTATTTACTCCTGTCATTCTCAACCTAACTCAGTAAGAGTTTTGCCAAAAACACATCATGTACCAGAGGTCCATTTTCACAGCATGCCGATGAGAGTGTGATGACACCAGGTTAGACAGGCTGAGGAAAGAAAGAGATGACTAGGGAGAGGCAGATATATTTTCTATACGCTTCTCTAATTACATATTCTTCCCAAACCTTTAGCTTACTTTCTAAAACATTCTGCCTGATTTCATTGAGAGGTGGCGTGCTGAGGGCAAGAGGCTTATATGTGATGTGTCAGTACACACAGGTACTGCCAGGCAGACCAAGGCCGTGTTATATGTAATGTAATGAACAGTCACACTTAACCATGTATATCTAACTATCTCACAACTCCCAGGAGGTACATTTGTGGGACAACTTTTGAAACAAGGACAGGACAAACCAGATCTGATGTAATTATTTTGTTTCCTTGAAAAACACCTGAGGGAAATGCTAGTGGTTATTCTCCCCTGTGCAGGAGAATTGAATAACATATTGATACTCTCACCATGCCTTTACCTGCAGTCAACTACTGCACGTACACATTTCCCACCAAATAAATACCTGATTCACTTTCCAACCTTCCACGCAACACATCTGTCTACATGGTTATAAACATCCTCTAACTTTATTACTTGTTTTTTCACCCTTCGATAAATGTTTTTCTATTTTTGTGGAAGTTACATCGGACAAGGACATACTTTAGGGAAATGGAACATGCAAATAATGAAGAGTTGCAAATATTCAGAATGCAAAAGGGGCAATTAAAAAAGAAATACTATTAAAGAGACTATTGATAGCAATACAAAACAACGAATGTATCAATAAGAAAAGAAACCCTGTGTGCTGACAGATGAGCATTTCTGTGAGGGCCGCAATGCAGGTGTTGTGTTGTCCACAAATAAACAGTTCCAGATTTTTCCTCCAGCTAGTTTGACAAACTTCTGTGTCTCTTTCTGGTGCTTCTAAATATCATCGATGTTGAATTCTGACATGTCCTTGCATGCCTATGACACTAGAGGGCGGTGGCACCATCTCACAGTTAAGACAGCTGAGAAGTCATGCAACGTCAAAGGCAACTCCCAGTTCCATGAGTGCAAAACTAAAGAGAAATCAACTCTCCATCAACAGTTTGTTTTGAGGACGTGTGATGAAGACTTGAATGCGATTACAGTTTGTTCTTGGAGAGCAGAGAGTGGTCCTGCTGATTGTCCAGTTGAAAGGAAACACAGTCTGCACTTTGTGAAGATAAACATTGAGGTTCACTGTGTGTCCAAGCTTATTGATGACTATGGGTAGCAAGATTGTAGAAGAATTTGCAAGAGCATTGACACAAAGGGCAGTGTTCATTTCCTTTATCTGTTCTCTGCTCGAGCGAGGAACCTTGTGAGCAATCTGTCAGTCCGACTCCTCCAACATTCATGCAAAAGGATTCCAACAATTCAGCAGTCTTCAGAGGACTCACAACAGAACAAAATGACTGCGGAACATCAGTCAATTCACCAGCTTCTTGTAGAGATACAAAACTAAACGCCAACAGGAAGATTCGTGTTGTTTTGTTTGTTTTAGGCAGAGTCAGGTCAAGTGACGGGGTCAGGTGATCTGACGATGTCATAAGGCCACGAAGGTGCACGGGTGTCTGAGTTTACAAGGCAGCACTCCTCTGTTGAGCTGGTAGAACTCCACCAGCTGAATCAGGTCTGTGAATTTGGTGGAGCCGTCGTCAAGGCTGAAGAAGATTTGGCCGTCCTCTTCACACTGCAGGCAGGGACACACCAAAGAAACAGAAAGAGAATATAAGTATTTTTAAAAGGACTATAACAATCCGTTTACATTATCCGACTCATTGGCAACAAATCAAGTATTGAAATACACAAGTATTGAATTTAAATATATATTTTAATATTGAATTCCTACATTGTAGATCCTGGATACAAGCAACCTTATTTATTCAAGTTAGACCAAATTCACAATATCCTCCTTTTGAAGGTTTGCCATTTTTGACGGACATAGCTCACAAAAAAAATCTGTCCGCTATAAAGTTAGGTTAATGAGCTAACAGATGCAAGATCATTATACCTTTTAACAAAAATCATTTTGATCAGCACAACCGTCAAAGTCTAGGTTGCTTCTATTTTAAATTAACTTGTCTCAAGATTTATTAATACCTAAAAAGGTTCTCACAATAACAAACATTCACTGTTCAAGGACCATTATTTATTAAAAGAAAAAGGAAATCAAAAACCAAGCAATGCATACCGGTAGTATCTGGAAATGTTTGATTTTCTGGTGATGGCACAACGTGAGCACAAACGCCTTGGGATTACTCTGACTGACTCTGAGCAGAAACAACCTGTGAAACAAGAGAAAGGAAGATACTGTGAGAAGGATCCACGGACTTGATTTTAAATTAGGAAAAATATAAATAATAACTCTTCAGTAAGGTTTTTTTTTTTAGATTCAGTTAATAGGAAAAGTATGTAAAATCTGTTTTAGCTCCAGATGCCTTACCCATCGACTTGTCCCTGCTGGTGGATAATGCGATGCGATTCTTCTCTGGTTATCCTGCCGTGGAACCACAACTGAGCTATGTGGATGACTGCAGAGAATAATGGAAAACATATATTTAAAATACTTTCTAAATACGCTTTAACCGATAGAAAATGTGTAAAGAACAAGTTCAAGCATTTTGTAAATGCTTTTGCAATTACCTGAGCTTAGTGAGGAGTGGTGTAAAGGACTGTGGGAGCCTAATACGTTCATTCGTTGACTCCTCTTCTGAGAGAGATGCCACAAACAACTGGGATGAGTTCATGATCTGGTGTTCTTGATATTACACTGAACAAAAATATAAATCTAACACTTTTGTTTTTGCTCCCATTTTTCATGAGATGAACTCAAAGATCTAAAACATTTTCTATATACACAAAATAACCATTTCTCTCAAATATTGTTCACAAATCTGAAAAAATCTGTGATAGTGAGCACTTCTCCTTTGCAGAGACAATCCATCCCACCTCACAGGTGTGGCATATCAAGATGCTGATTAGACAGCATGATTATTGCACAGGTGTGCCTTAGGCTGGCCACAATAAAAGGCCACTCTGAAATGTTCAGTTTTATCACACAGCACAATGCCACAGATGTCGCAAGTTTTGAGGGAGCGTGCAATTGGCATGCTGACAGCAGGAATGTCCACCAGAGCTGTTGCCCGTGAATTGAATGTTCATTTCTCTACCATAAGCCGTCTCCAAAGGCGTTTCAGAGAATTTGGCAGTACATCCAACCGGCCTCACAACCGCAGACCACGTGTAACCACACCAGCCCAGGACCTCCACATCCAGCATGTTCACCTCCAAGATCGTCTGAGACCAGCCACTCGGACAGCTGCTGCAACAATCGGTTTGCATAACCAAAGAATTTCTGCACAAACTGTCAGAAATCGTCTCAGGGAAGCTCATCTGCAGGCTCGTCGTCCTCATCGGGGTCTCGACCTGACTCCGGTTCGTCGTTGTAACCAACTTGAGTGGGCAAATGTTCACATTCGATGGCGTCTGGCACGTTGGAGAGGTGTTCTCTTCACGGATGAATCCCTGTTTTCACTGTTCAGGGCAGATGGCAGACAGCGTGTGTGGCGTCGTGTGGGTGAGCGGTTTTCTGATGTCAATGTTGTGAATCGAGTGGCCCATGGTGGTGGTGGGGTTATGGTATGGGCAGGCGTATGTTATGGACGACGAACACAGGTGCATTTTAGTGATGGCATTGTGAATGCACAGAGATACCGTGATGAGATCCTGAGGCCCATTGTTGTGCCATTCATCCACGACCATCACCTCATGTTGCAGCATGATAATGCATGGCCCCATGTTGCAAGGATCTGTACACAATTCCTGGAGGCTGAAAACATCCCAGTTCTTGCATGGCCAGCATACTCACCGGACATGTCACCCATTGAGCATGTTTGGGATGCTCTGGATCGGCGTATACGACAGCGTGTTCCAGTTCCTGCCAATATCCAGCAACTTCGCACAGCCATTGAAGAGGAGTGGACCAACATTCCACAGGCCACAATCAACAACCTGATCAACTCTATGCGAAGGAGATGTGTTGCACTGCGTGAGGCAAATGGTGGTCACACCAGATACTGACTGGTTTTCGGACCCCCCCAATAAAGCAAAACTGCACGTTTCAGAGTGGCCTTTTATTGTGGCCAGCCTAATGCTACGTTCACACCGGACGCGATGCGAATATTCGCTTTGCTCTAAACGCTCCTATCACATCGCTCTAGTTGCTCGAGTTTCACCGCGGCTGCCAGCTGTGTTTACTCACATCATTCAAACAAGACGCACTGGCTCGGGAGCTACAACTACAACAAAATGAACATATTTTACCGTGATTAAATTGTAATACACGTTTCTAAATGATGCCGACGTAACAACATACTGATACCGGTTAGTAAAAACCATTAATTAATGCTTGACAAGTCTGCAGACAAGACGGCAGGCGAAAAACCTTTTAAAATGCTTGTTTTCTGAATGGAGATTGGGTCGACCAGGCTAAGCTAACGTTGTATATGCTCACTCCACACTCATAACAACGGCCTACAGACATAAATAAACCAGCGACTGTATTCGCCATGACACCGACAGTCTGTGGTTTGTTCTTGTTTAACTTTTGTACAGTTTCTGAACATATATGAGGAGCTGTGATCTCTGTGTGCTAACTGCTAACAGCTAATGGCTGATGTTTTCTGGTTGAACATCAGTGACGGCAGGCTGAGATCCTCACCGCTGATTGGCTTCCGCGAGAATGCGTCACGTGAATTTGACGCCCGAGTTGAAAAAATTGAACTCTCGCGTTTGACGCGGCCCCCTTCAATCGCGTGATTCGCGCCGCGTCCACCGCTTCATGCGCGCCGTCAGAGCGAATTCGCGTCTGATCGCGTCTCTGCATTGACTTTACATGTAATCGCGCCGCCCCCAAACTTCGCATCGCGTCCGGTGTGAACGTAGCATAAGGCACACCTGTGCAATAATCATGCTGTCTAATCCGCATCTTGATATGCCACACCTGTGAGGTGGGATGGATTATCTCGGCAAAGGAGAAGTGCTCACTATCACAGATTTTTTCAGATTTGTGAACAATATTTGAGAGAAATGGTTATTTTGTGTATATAGAAAATGTTTTAGATCTTTGAGTTCATCTCATGAAAAATGGGAGCAAAAACAAAAGTGTTGCATTTATATTTTTGTTCAGTGTATATAAAAAGTCAAATATCTTATGGACACAAAAAAGTCAACACCTACAACCAGAGGAAAACTAAACCTGTATGAATAGTTAAGCAAAAATAAATTGTGTCATCTGTAGTGACCATTAAAAGGTTGGCTCCATTTTAACAGAAGCTGTGTCTCACCCTCCATGCATGTCCCTCCTCCATGGCAGCGCTCTGAGCTTCTACAGGGTTGTCAATCACCCTGCCTATCCTCCCTGAGAAATCCATGGCCACAAGGGAGTTTTCCGATACACTCCGCTAGGGGGAGACAGAGTTCAACAGTCAAATGTTGGACAAAGGCAGGGAGATAAGTGCAGGGATGTACAACTGCAAACACAGGCAGAGCAAACAAGTTTAAATGTTTCTTTAAATTGTCAGACAAATATCTAGAGCTGTTCCTAGTGCCTGCATAACAATAGTATTCACGTACAATTCATGTTTTGCTTATTTCAGAAATCTGGGAGTTAGTAAAAGCAAAGTTGATCAGTAAACTTACCACAGGTGCCGAGAAGTGTGAAAGTAATGTTTTCCTTTGTTGGGGAATCTTGTAGTTCTGGTACAAAATAATTCCATACTGTAAAGGAAAGGAGAAAGCTGGTTAAGCAAGACTATCACAATTCTTAATGACTGTGGGGTACACACTTAATCCAAAACGTTTTTATATAGGACATTTATTATGGCGTTACCTTAAAGAGCCGGAAGGCCATCATCCAACACGTCCTGCCCTGTTCATCGTCCGCACACAGCATCCTCAACTCCTTGAGCTCCCCTCGACATTTATTGGGCTGTGAGTTAACATTTGACAGAATGAGAACACAGATCATTCATAATAATCGCTACCAGTACCCCAACAATAATCAGGGTTCTTACACCTTTTCCAAAGTCAAATTCAAGCACTTTTCAAGCATTTTCAAGGTGCATTTTCAAGCTTTTCAAGCAGCTTACAGCTGTTGTAAATTACATATTTATATACACATACTCAAATGATTATTTCCCTACCTCACATAAAATCAGATGTTCTTTATGCTATAAACAACCAAATGTGTGTTTTGTGATAGCATTCTACACGAGGATGAAAGATTAAAGAAAAGAAAACTAGGTTTAATATTTCAAAATGAGTGATCTGTACGTAGACTGGGCCTCCCATATAACCTGTCTGAGCCAAAATAAAACAATCAGCCAAATAACTTTTCAATACATTATTGATTACTATTTTTGAGGTACTTTTAGGTTGGCAGTAAACATAAGTCAGAGGTACATGGTGTACTTTTACTCCACTACATGTATTTAATCCCTTTAGTTACTTCACAGATGTGGATGAATGATGTGAAATATAACCAAGTGTTGAATCAGACTTTAGTTCCACCTGGAGTAAATCCACCAGCTACCCTGCAGTATACAAAGTCATTCAAACTAGCTGCACCTTTACCAGCTTTGAGAACACTTTCATGATCAATCATTATAAAACATATCATATATATTATTCTGAAATGGACCAATCTGCACAATGACTACTTTTACTGTCGCTAATTTTACTATATTTTGATGATCATACTTTTCTACTTTCACTTGAGGAACATTTTGAATGCAGGACTTTCACTGTAACAGAGTATTTCTACACTGTGGTACTTCTACTTTTACTCAAGTACAAGATCTGAGTACTTCTACTTTTACTCAAGTACAACATCTGAGTACTTCTACTTTTACTCAAGTACAATATCTGAGTACTTCTACTTTTACTCAAGTACAACATCTGAGTACTTCTACTTTTACTCAAGTACAATATCTGAGTACTTATTCCACCTCTGGTAGCGTATTAGTCTGAATTGTAGCCACAAAATCACGCAGAGCTGCATAAAAATAGACTCACAATGGTAACAAGTGGAAAATAATATTTACAAATGTGTACAATGATGTGTAGGTAATTTTGACTACTCAAGACACCTGACTTATACATCTTCAAAGGAAGACTGTGTTCATTCTACAATTACATGGGATTAAAGCAAAATGTAGTTTTACTTGTATAATACTTCAATTTTATATAAAAGACAGTTTGTTTTCATCTGTTTTCAAATAAACAAAGTATTGGCTTTCAGAATATTAAACTTGTTTCGGCAAATTCAGATGATAAATACAACTTTGAAGCTTCGACATATTTACAAGCAGAGAACGGACTAATGTAACATCACAGCAAGCATAACAACAGCCGGTGTTTCTTGTGAGTGTTTCCCCGGTACACAAATGCAAAAATACACAAACACACACTCGCGAGCTTCCCCCAGACCAGTAATACAAACGAAAATGTGTCTTCGGGTCAATGTGACTGATTTCGATAGAGCAAGTCACATTTGGTTTAGGCACGAAACATACTACCAGTAGAAATACATTGCTTTCAAAATCGCTCTGTGTCGATTCAATAGATTATATTTCGTGACTATAACACGAAATGCCGTGAGTGCTTCATCCTCTGAACACCACACGATGGCGACTGTAACGCACATAACATAGGTACGCTCCTCTGAAATGATTGTCCCCTGCAATTATTATTATCCCTCGAGTTCGATATTCAGCTCGCTAACGTTAGTTTAATCAAACGTAACATGCAACGTTAGCCTGATCTAAAATGCTCTACAGCGTACCTTTCATGTGGCTCGTCAGCGCAGACTCTTGCATCGTTATTTTTGCAAACTTTGCAGGAGGCTACTTGTGGGCTTGACCCTCGTCTTAACCATGGCTTGTATTTGTCTTCTGCTAGCCAACGCTCGTTGAAACTGCAACCTCCTGGCACACAGTCATCTATCACTCTCATCAGAATGCCCAGGTCACACGTAACACAAACACTTGCAGGTCGCGCGCATAGCGCGGGAAGGTGCAGCGGAGCTGTTTTATGTAGAAGCGAAGCAATTATTTTCTTTTAATCTAAAAAGCGAACTATTCAGTCAGACAGCAATTTATTGTAAAAGTAAAGCATTTACATTTTCAAGCACTTTATCTCAATTTCAAGCACTATTCCCAAAATTCAAGTACTTTCCCAACCTTGAAAACACCACGTCAAATTTCAAGCATTTTCAAGGATTTCAAGCACCCGTACGAACCCTGAATAATACATATGTAACAAATTCAGGGGGAGCAGCACAGGATGTCAATCATTCCTCACCCCATAACATGTTATTGGACATCAGCTTGATGTCACTCACCCTGATACAGAAGCCGTAGTCTGACGGTGCTCCGTGCTGCTTTTTGCCTGTGGTGACAGTGAAGATGTTACTGTCGTCAAGGTCTGCTAGAAACTGTAGATGTCTGGGCTCCTGGAGACAGAAATAATGAATAAGTCAGGAGGTGACAGAGAGACACAAACCAGAACAGGGACCTCCATCGATAAAAGGCGGATTTAAAGGTTATAACATTTCACATATTTATGCTGTTGAAACTTTAACATTTAAATGTTACGCTTTGCAATTATTTTCTGATAGGTTAAGACTGTAGTTACAAAGTCAAAAAAAAGAACATGCTAAAATGACACGGAAAAATATTCTGATTTTGAGTTTCTGTTACCTTTGAGGTTCCTTTTGTCGAGCAGTAGAGCCCCGAGCGCCGAAGGAATATGTAAACTTTCTTCCACGACTTCCTTCCCACCTCCTTCACATACAGATACCCCTGGATCTCTGGACAGCTACTGGTCGCTAGGAAGTTCTGAGGGAGGAAAGGAAGGGAATAATGATTACAACATGCATCTACAGTATATACACATTTGGAAAATATTATTGTGTTATATATATTTTGGACCAAAAGCTGAATCAATGTGTTTTTCTTGACATGGAAAACAATAAAACAAATTCAGCTCAAAACATCAACCCATCCCTAGACATCTTCACCCCAAAAGTGACAAATTAAGATAGGGAACAACAGAAATCAGATAGGAGAACTTACAACATATACATATAATACATCAATAAAAAGACATGCGAGATGTGAGACCTGGTGTAAATTAAGCAGGTCAGTCTGATTCCCTCATGTTGGACTATGTATTCTCTCTATAATGTCCTCCATCAAGGGCCCTCAGCCTCCGGAGGGCAATGTTGGATCACATCTGAAGCCTATAAGCTCTGTGTCCCTGTCACACTCTCAGATACTATCAGCTGTAGCGGACACCATCTGTAGAGGCATCAGAGATGGGAGGCAATTGCTTTTTGTCAAAGAACACCGTGTCATTTGGGCTCCTTGCATCAGTGCAAAACTGACAGATGATGGTCGAGATGGGCGGCTGCTTGAGTGCTTACACAGAACGGTAGCAACCACTATGAGGCAAGACATTTTGCTGTTGTCTGAATAGGGGTGTAACGGTTCACAGAAGTCACGGTTCGGTTCGTACCTCGGTTTGGGGGTCACGGTTCGGTACGGGTTCGGTACAACAAGAAAAAGCTAAAAAAAAGTCCCAAATGTATAATTCCAGGTTTGTTGTTATTTATTTTGAACAGTAGTGCAAGTTTCAGTTTAAAAATAAGGAACTCTGACATTTTGAATAATTAACTGTATTAAACAGTTAAAAACAAACCACAAACAGTACCACACACACTCAGATGGCCATATTATGGCCATCTGAGACAATGGCTGATGTCAAACAAAAAGGTTTCATCAAGCTGTAAAACTAAAAAGAATGTCTTGAAAATATGACATCAGAAATAATAAGAAATTGTTTCAAGAGCGCAAAGTCGTTGAAAAACATATGCCAAAAGCTTCCGTTATTAGGGCCCGAGCACGGAGCGCTAAGACCCAACGGCGTCCTAGCACGAAGTGCGAGGAACCAATTGTTATTGGTGGAATTATTATTTTTCTGCTGGCGTTTCCTGTTTTTGAGGCCTTTAGGACGCTGACAAAGTTGTATAATTTTGCACGGACGCCAGGACTGGTGAAAATACAATATTCTGGAGTCAATGGGTTAACTATTCCAACGTGCTCACTAGCGCCACCTATGAAAAACCCATTTCGGAATAAATGTACAAAGTCGCAACGTAACTCCAAATGACCTGAATTTTGCACACATATCCGGGAGGACCTGCTCTACAAGTAATCATCTTGGAACCCTAAGCTCCGCCTACATTGTTTTAAATAGAAATTAGCATAATGTTCAAAACAGTTAAATATTCACTTAAATTTCAATTTTCAGTTTTTCAACACCAAACTTCGTATACAGCATCGGTGGAGGGTCACGCGTCCACATCTCAACGTGCAGTGCTGCATTTCATGCTGAGTCGGCGATAACTTTCGAGGGGTGGAGGCAGGGCCGCCCCTGGCCAACTTGGGGCCCCAAGCGACATTGTGAGATGAGGCCCCCCCCCCCAACCGACAGGAGTGAACTTTTTTTTTTTGGAAACAAAGTAGGCTACTTTGCAAATATAATTCCTGTTTATTATTATTATCAACGGTTAATTTTTTATACAGTGAGGTAAATGGTAAATGTGCATGTATGTCGCTCAGTATGCGTTTACAGGTGAATTTTGCATTTCCTGCCAAATACTAGCCTCAAAAAGATAAAAACATAATTAATGCAAATAAACTACTTCTACTAATAATAATAATCATAATCAATTCAATAATAAAAATACTATATTGTTTTATTATAATATAGTTGTAATATAGTCAAGACAAGACATGCTTATGACATGCTCAAAAACTGATATTTCTTAAATCTGTATTCTAGTTCCCTCTGTCAGCAATGTATCAACAACTACACACACATTTCTATCAGTGTTTCTCTGTGTTGTGGTTGACATGATGATGACTGTTAGGAGTTAAGGGGAGAGGCTGAGCATCACCATGAAATGTGCAAATTGACATAAAAATGAATAAAAGGGGAAAAAATGCTCCATGATTTTAGGCTGTAAACTTTAACTGTTATGTAAGCCAAGTAGACAGACAGTATCACTCTTCCTCCTGTATATTAGCAGATAAAAGGCATAACATAATGAATGAATGGTAAATAAAGAATGCTGGAAATAACTGCATCTCCATTAGCCTATATGCTCTGCAGAGATTGCCTTCTTCATGTCGTGAATTGCAGCTGATGTTTTAAGATGGCAATTGGCAATTTGACTTATAAAACATTCGTAAGTTGTACATTTGACTCATACAATAACCCACCTTCGAGTGATGCGCTAGTTTCTTCATGTTTTGTTTTTTGCGCCGGACTGAAACTGTCTTTTCACCGACATCTCTTCACCTGCACTAGTGGCCGTATCAAAGCCGTGATTGGTCAGATGTCGATTCATTGCAACGGTGTCGGGTTACAGACGTGCTCCTCTTGTCACCTCTCACTCTCACTCTCGCGGGGGGTGCGTGGAGAACTGAGCGGAGAACTGCGCACAGCAGCTGAGGCCCTCTGGGCGGGGACCCCTGCGCAAGGCGGGGCCCCATGCAGCCTGCGTGATTGGCCTGTAGGGAGGGGCGGCCCTGGGTGGAGGTATGCCCATTATTTTGAGTTCGTCCGAAGAATAGACAGGAATGTGACGGTGAGGTGCAAACTGTGTCCAGGCCAGAAGCTTTTATCCACTGCTGTAAACACCACGTCAAACCTCAACAAGCACCTGCAAAGAACACATGCTAAGGTGAAGCTACCGCACACGCTATTTGTTTGTTTATATCACGGAGTCTGTTCTTCTTCTCTGTCTTCCGGTTGTTGCCTGTTTTGAATGACAAATACACACTACCGCCGCCTGCTGGTAAGGAAAGTTATTGCCACTCACGCATGCGCAGTTCGTACGTGCTCGGCGAGTAAAGTAACGAGTTACTTTATGTAGATAGTAACGAAGTAGTGTAATATATTACTTTTTTTTTTAAAGTAATATGTAATATATAACGACCCCATCTCTGGAGTTGGCGTTCTCTACTCTGGTTTACATGAAGAACAACAGGAGGTCACGGCTCTCTGTTGAACAGGACAAGCGAGTGGCCCTCTCCTCAGTGCCACCAAGGATTAAAACATTCTGCGCGCCCCGACAGGCACATGTATCTGTATCTCACTCATTTGTAAGTCAGCAAAAATATTTACAATAGCACATGTTTCAATGCTGATTGCTGAAATGTTACATTTATAATTTGTAGTTCAGGACCATGGACAATGCAGCTTCCTTGCATTGACAGTTCTCTGTGCTGAATTTCTGCTGAGTTTCCTTAGCCTCATTTTTAATGTTGTGACCTGTCTGGTTTAAATGAGTGTGTTGCTGCTTTGATGAAGCCTAATTTGGTAAAGTTTCAAATTAATTTCTGAAATATTTCGTTAATAAATATGTCATGAGTAATATAGTTGTCTTTGTCACATTTTATTTGGCATTAGTAAATAATTATGCACATTTACAGATATTTTACATGATATGAGTGATAACACGTGTTATAAGGGCTATTTTGCACAATAGGTGTGCCTTGATATTTTTACTTGTCCTTTGGTGTGCCTTGGGCACGAAAAGTTTGGGAACCACTGCCCTAGGAGATGAACATGTTCAAACCATAAATATTTCCGCCATGAATTAAAATGTACTCGCAAAAAGGCGGGGCTTAGAAATAAATGCTCATAACTCATCAACAATGTATCCATTCACCACAGATTTTGGTGGAAAGGTTCAGTCTGTCTTGGGGAATAGGCACACCAAATCATTTTCATTTAGGACAATAGGGGGCGCCAAAAACACCACCAATTTATAACTCAAAAGCGGATGGACGAATTATTTTTATTTTGTTTACACATACTCTCGGGGTGACTACGAACTCAGATTTAAAGTGACAAGTAAACTTTTTTTTAAAAATTGCGATAGCATAAAATGACCTTCGGACGCAAAACTTGGGACACACGTCAGAGCCCAGAACCTTTTCAAGAATGTAAAAAAAAAACGTAAATTTTCAAAAAAACTGCTCACTAGCGCCCCCTATTGTGTGGTAGTCACATAGTTTCTCAGAACTTCACGAATTTTGGCACAGACATTCCTCATGGAATTGCGGACATATTTGTAGATACATTCCATTAGCCCCGCCCCCCAAAAAGTCGGCCATTTTGAAATATGTGCGTTTTTTATGCATTTTAAGCACATTCTTGCGCACTCCTCCTAGGGGAATGATCGGAAAAATTCCAATCCAGGACACGTTCAGCCCCTATCCAATATGAAACTTAATTGAGGAGCACATTTTTGAAAAATTACTCGTGGAGGTCGTAAGCTAACAGCGAATACACCATTTTTGACGATTTACATGTCCCAAATTACTCCAAACTACTCGGATATAGTTATTCCGATATTCACGAAACGCTGTATACATATTGCTATTATGATTGCACATATATTTCAAATTGCCTTCCATTAGCCCCGCCCCCCAGAAAGTCGGCCATTTTGAAAAATGTGCGTTTTTCAGCCATTTTACGCACGTTCCTGCGAACTCCTCCTAGGGGAATGATCGGAACAATTCCAATCCAGGACAACTTTTGCGCATATCCAATGTCATGCTACATTGAGAAGGAATAGTCCTTCACTCAAACGGGGAGCTCGTAGGCTAACGGAGAATGTACCATTTTTGACCAATTATATGTCAGATAAGCTACTGAGACCTGCCTGCCTGACACACACACACACACACACACACACACACACACACACACACACACACACACACACACACACACACACACACACACACACACACACACACACACACACACACACACACACACACACACACACACACACACACACACACACACACACACACACACACACACACACACACACACACACACACACACACACACACACACACACACACACACACACACACTGTTAGTCCAACAACGCCCTTTGCTGGCGGCATATTCATTACAAAAGACACTCCCTAACCCTAACCCTACTGTTTATTTGTAGATATCTCCTAAAGCCTACAAATAAAGTGTGAAATGTAGGCCTGTTACAGTTGTTATATATTATACACACTGTTCTGCTTTCTGCACTGACCTCAGCAGCAGTTCTCACTGTAAACATCGCGTCACAATGAAAGCAGTTGTGTTGAGAAAATAAATAGCCTAACATCCAGGGGACATGTGATTAGTGAGTAAACAAACGGTAAAGGGCAGAAAGTCTGATGCACATTTGATCATCTCAAATAACTTATAATCACAACGGGAACAGTTTGCACGCCTCTTTTAAACATCACTGTTGGCTGAAATCGTCTCAGGAGAATACTTCAGTGTACCCTCGGTTATAGCTCCTCTAGAGACACTCCTCTCTCCTCTAAATCAGTGTATCCTCGATTACGGCTCCTCCAGACAGCCTCCTCGATAATCCATCCTCGGCGAGCCTTTAGAGACATTTGTTTTCCTTTGACATCCGTTTCCGGGTCGCGAAAATTATAGAAATGACAAACGGCTAATTTCCCAGGACTCGCGCGCGTCTGCTTGACGCCGGGACGACCGGCTGCCCTCCCCGACAGGCGCACGGACGCGAGGGCCCGCTCATCACTGCGCGCACAAGTGCGACCGCAGTTTTAATTTATTTTGGTCTCTCGGCTTTCATGTCTCTTGGCTTCTTAAAAACAGCGGGGATCAGCTGTTGAACTGCTGTTCTCTTTTGCCGGGCTCCGGTGATTGGCAAATCTGGGTGATGCCTTCTGATATGATTTAGCATGTTTGGCGTGTGTTACCATTAGCATACCGCACCGCTATCGAACAACGCCGACATACCGTCCTCGTCCAATCCACCACTCGTCCGATCCACCACTCGCACACTTCATCGTTATTGTAGTCCACAGGGAACCCGAAATGTTCCCACACAGCTGATTTAAAAGAAGCAGGTGGGTTCTAGCTCCTGTGTGTTATCTGAAATCGCCATACTAACTTTTCTTCTTCTTGTATTTTGTTCGTTTTGTTGTTGTGTTTCTTCTTGTTCTTCATTTGTTGTTTAAGGGCGGCTGACAAACAGCTTTTAGGCGCAATACCGCCCCCTGGATTATATATAGTATAGTGGATACTGCCCTGAATGACAGACTTTTTTCCCACTCGTAAAAAAAAGGCGTATTCGTCGTGGACTGCGTGTGCCGAACCGTGACGTCCGAACCGTGACGTCCGAACCGTGACGGTACGGGATGAATACGGATACCGTTACACCCCTATGTCTGAACAATCTTAGGGTGTAGAGACTTGAAGAGGGCAGAGGAAGGCAGACAGGATCTTGACTTTGGCATGTGTGTATACATACACAACTTAGTATATAGTTTAAGCAGCAAACAATCATAGTTTCTATTTTAAAAACTAAAGACAAAGTGTTGTGTTATACAATCCAGTAGAGATACTGCACATGCATTAAATCAGCATACAGTGCATTCTGATTGGAAACCCCTTAAGCGTAAATTCTCGAGTAGGTGTATGAAATACTTTGAATTGTGGTTTCTATTTTTCACTAAAATATCACACCATGAAGTGGTTGAGCTATTAGAGGTGATTTGGAATCTGTGGCTTGTGGCTTGAAGGCAAACTGCTCCAGAGGACTCAGTATTTAAAGCACATGTTCCCCAGTGTTTTGGAAACACCCCACAGTGGGCCTCATGCATGAGCAAGTTCCGAGATTTTCGGAGCGCACGCTCACACGCGACGTTCATTCAAACCGCTTTCTTGTTGAGGTTCTACAGCCTTCTGCTTTGCGTTGACAGGTGTTTCTTGCATAAATGGCAACTATTGATAACACCTGGTTGAGCTCGGGTCAGAACCCTCTCGGTTTGGACAGCACTCTAATTGAGTGCAAAGATCTTGTGTTTAGAATAGGGCTGTCAGTCGATTAAAATATTTAATCGCGATTAATCGCATGATTGTCCATAGTTAATCGCGATTAATCGCAAATTAATCGCACATTTTTGATCTGTTTTAAATGTACCTTAGAGGAATATTTTTCAAGTTTTTAATACTCTTATCAACATATGAGTGGACAAATATGCTTTATGCTAATGTTTATTATCATTTGAACAATGACAAATATTCTCATGAATATTAAACACAACAACTTCTGAACATTACAAATATTCGCCTCCAATCAACCTGGAACCTAATACAATACAAATGGTGTGTGTGTGTGTGTGTGTGTGTGTGTGTGTGTGTGTGTGTGTGTGTGTGTGTGTGTGTGTGTGTGTGTGTGTGTGTGTGTGTGTGTGTGTGTGTGTGTGTGTGTGTGTGTGTGTGTGAGATGGATCGTTGGAGCTATGTGCAACTCAAGGCATATGCTCGAACGGGAGCTGCCTGGACGCTGCAATCATGTTGCACTATCCGTGCTGAGTGTGCTGACTTTTCGTACAATGTCCCACTGTCTGGCTACCTGCATAAAGTCAAGTGCTCGGCGCAGTTGTCGGCGAAATGTCGCTCCTCTGTTTTCATTTAAACAGCTCCTTATATCTGTTAGCGCAGCTAGCTAGCACCAGATGCTAACAACAACAATGCACGTAAGGTCTCTCTCTCGCTCGCTCGAGCCACACATACACACACCCTCCCGGTCCTCCCAATAGCCAGTCGGTGCCTGCCGGTGAGCGTGGAAGTGTGGTCTGCCACAAGCGGGCGGCAGGAGCGGGGCTGTCAACATCAGCTTGTAGATGGTATTTTAAACTCGATGCGCTCTGAAACTACGGGGCGGACGACGAAAAAAAATACACATGCGTTAAAATAATTAGTGGCGTTAATTTTTTTTTTCGTTAACGCGTTATTAACGCGTTAACTTGACAGCCCTAGTTTAGAATAAGTCAAACACTGGGGATTCCTGCACAACTCAGGCTCAACTCATTCTCCATTCATTTATTGACTCCTCTATGTAGAGCATAACATATGTATGATCAGCAGGGGACTTAAAAACTTTCTGTGAGTGGCAAGGATGAAGGGATGGATTCCACTTGTGATTCTGTCTCTGACAGCTCCATTACTAGATACAGGAGAGAGCCAGACTGCATGTAAACCCTCCGTCCATTAAGAACAAAGCTCTTCAAAATCCAGAGAAACTTTTTGTCTGGTCTCCTCCCAGACTTTTCTTCATGTCTTTTGTGAAAGCAGTGGACGGCTCATGAGTGGTCTGTGATAAGAAGCATTAAGACACACAGGTGTGAATTTGTGCTGTGCAAACATACGGTAGGTACATGAGGGAACTGTATGTTCTATTTCTCACTGCCTAATTCCATGCATCGCAAGTGTGAGGCCTGTGGTGCGCGTGCAGAGACAGCCATGTGTCAACAGGGGATCAACGGTAGTTATTACTGCAGGCTCTGACGAGACACCCTGTCTCAGGGTCAGAGGTGAGGTATGTCAGCCTGATTGTACAGTATACAGCGGGTGCTGACTCGGAGGTAAAGTAAGCTTTGTGCGTGTCAGGAGGAGGAGAGAGACTTAGAGAGTGACAGAGAGGGAAACGTGCGTGTGCTGCTCATACCTGGAGGAGCTGAGATGGTGGAATCGTACGGTTGGTTTCCTGGCACCATGCAACCATTTGCTCAGGGAAAAATGTCTGGGGGAAGAAGAAAGACGAGAGAGATGGAGACAGACAGACGGAGAATATTAGTGACTGTGACAATAACAGGGTATATGCAGGAATCCTGAAGTCAAATGTAAGACCTTTTAAGACCTTTTTTAAGACCCTTTCCATACATTTTAAGACCTCATCGCCACTTCGGGTTTTAACCGGTTACATTGGCGACACACTTTACCTCACATTTACTATATACAGTATTGATTGTCCTTTCTCCTTATCTTCCAACCATTTGGACGCAAACTTGCATTTCCCCATAACGATGTTGTTTAACAACCGGCGTAAACGGACCTTCGCGCACTATCAAGCAGTGAGCGTGCGATGTCCTGTTCAGATGACGTCAAATCCAACGGGATGCTATAAATAAACTTCAAAGAATCACACTACACACCTACGCAATGATTACATTCAGGCAGACTGTAGAATACAACCTCTTTGGACAATTTATATACTTATTGAAAACAAGCTACAACATGTAATACCTTGGAAAATGCCGTTTAATACTTTTTAATAGCATTACTTTTCGCTAAATTGATTGATCAACTTTGAATACTTTTTAAGACCCAGCGGACACCCTGAATAATTATAGGTTAGTTATTAGGTAGGAATTTGTGAGGGGGAAGGAAACGTTGCGCAAATCTCATTAGTACGGTCAGCTGTCATAATATTTCACAAGATCCCAAAACCAAGTGAGACGCTCTGTCCAACGAAATGTCTTTCTTTCCTTTGGCCACTCTTTAGAGAAAATTACACGAGTAAACTCCTTACTTGAATCTTTAAAAGATGACAAAAATGCAAAGACACAGTCCACGAATACCTGCATTTTTTAAATGTAGGGGTATTGGTTTAACTTATATCAAAAAGACAATGCTGAAAGTGACACAACATGATAAGAAATGTTTTTAAAAAAGGAATTTACCAGGGGGTTTCTGAAGAATTCATATTTGGCATAGTTCTTCCTGAAGAGGAATCTACTGTCGCTGTTCATAGAGGCCTGGACCTGAACCACCAGCTCGTGGTCTTCTAGACAGCGCTCTGAGGGGACAGGCAGAGAGAGGACAACAAGGAATGAGGTTAGCATTTATTATTCGAAACAATATATGATTACTATTACAGAATTGTCAAATAAAATGAACATTAATATGTCAACGGAGCTAATGCATTACATGTTACATGTTACTTATTAGATGCTTTTATCCAAAGCGACTTCCATACTCAATACTGTGGGCAATCCCCACAGGAGCAATTTGGGGTGAAGTGTCTTGCCCAGGGACACAACGACATGCTGACTGCAGTGGGGTTCGAACCTGTGACCCCCTGATCCCAACACCAATGCTCTATCCACTGCGCCACACGCCTCCCTAATGCGATATGTGAATATGTGTATTTCTCAATATACTGCAGTCTTAAATATTACAAATGTTCTGAGTAAGCTACACAAGCACCATGGAAAATACATTTGAATATTTTAGAATTAAAGGACCAAAAAGTCGAGAAACACAACCAAATGAAACGGAAAGAAAAAACACACTGACTGCTTCGCAACAAGTAATTATTTGTCTTTTTAAAGCAGTACTCTTACTTCCTTTAAACACAAATATGATTGATCTAATATGGTCCGAATAACACTGAAACAACACTTAAAACCAGTGCATTGTTTTTTTCAAAATGTTTCATCTTTACATGTCAAGTCAGATGTTTGTTCCATGTGTTGTTATACCAACAAGATTCCAATAAGATTTTGGTCACAGTTAGCGACATTTGCAATTGGAAAGGGCAGACTTTAACAACACCATGTGTGGTACTGGATACGCCTGCTTGTGCCATAATAACATTGGCCAATAATCAATTCAACATTTAAAAAAGTCTAGGGCTAATCAATGAATCTGAATTTTATGAAAAGCGCACAATTGTTGTGCCAAAATACCATAAAAAAAAATAAGTACGGTTGTGCTGCAGAGATGTCCCAGCCTATAAAATGAAATGAACAGACCAAACAAAACACAATCACGTTTTTTACAATATATTTTTCAAAATAGATACGAATATTTTCCCCAAATAATCAACCGTAAATGGTACTAAATGCTCTAAACATATAATTTGGCCAGCTCAGTGGTGTGACAGAATATTTAGAAATGCAGGTTGCTTTTAATGGCATGCACTCATCACTCAAGTTGTGACTGATGATCAGACACTGGCCTTCCCCTTTCAAAGTGAGCAAAAGAGGCTGTGATTCCACTAAGACCGTGTCCTTGTATGGACGTGTTCAGAGGTCCTGGTGATTTATATTATGTGCCTGCCAATGCTTCGACCGGTCATGACTCACTCAATTCCAACAGCCTAACAAGTCCTCTCTGACACGTCTTTAATAAAAGACATCCTTCCTTTCCCCAGTAGATCTAATTAAAATGCTTCAGCTTAACTAACTTCTGCAATATCAGTGTTTTCTCTGATATTGGTTTCTTGATGTGGAATAGAGCACTTCAGAGATGTGTGAGTGCACAGCTCTCATCATTATCTCATTTCATGTTTTCCCCCTCTGTCACAATCTCTTTGACACTGTCACGACTCTTCTCTTTCTCTCCGTTTCATCTTGTCGCCTGTCTGATGAGTCACTCGTGCTCGTGACAGTGACTCACCCTGGCAACACTACCTCACTGTCCCAGAGCTGTTAACCTTTTTGGGGTTGACAAGTGGAGGTCAGTGTTGCTTATCTCAAAGGGCCATTTCATCCCATTCAGCAGCGAGTGGGCAGCGATGTACGGGAATAGGCTTCTCTATTCAAACACGCTATTGTTCGGGTCTCTCTGAAACTTCTATTCTCGTCTACCACCCAACCACATGTGCACACATGAAGGATCACATAACATGTATGTGCAGTGCAGACGTACAGTCTGCAGCACACACGTAGGATCATGTACATACACAAGCAGTACTTTCACAAACTGCATAACTATACAAATATCTTTGAGAAGATACAGCATGTCAGCAGATACAGTTTGTTGATATCAACTATGATTCAGAAGATTCATTTAATTTATGACAACTGTTATCTTTTAGGTGGCTCCGTGAACATACTGTACAGTAAACACACTACTAGAATACAAACATCAGTACTATACAAATACATAGATTAACCACAATGCAACAACCACAGTTAAAGTAACTTGGAATATCTTAGAATGGTAAATAATATGCCATACAATGCATTCAATGCACAAAGGGGTAAAAAATACCATTACATATAATTTGACATTTACAAAGACACTACAAATTGTGTAATGAGCATAATTTTTAGAAGCTTTTGATAATTTTGTTGTGGACACAAACTCAATGCAAATGGATAACCTTTTGAAATTGAACAGTCAACACACTGTTGCTTTATCACATCCCATCTTCTGAAACTCCTGAACATAAAATATGGCAAGAATACGGGTGCAGAGCAGGTGCGCCGGAATAGAAGGAGGGCTATAATAGAATAAGATTACTCCGAGCCAAAAGTGATGTCATTTACAACAAGCCCAGGTAACTGTGTTTGGCAGCATCCTTTTGGCAGCATTGATGAGAAATGTAATCAGATCATGATGGATGGTGAAATATTAGGCGAGAGTGTTAGGACCTGCACTTTGAATAATGCAAATATATTTTCAAAAAGTTTCCTGAGGTGACAGCACATCAGGCAAGAAAATTATGTTAGTCGTGACAGCAGAATTCCACTTTTTTCCACCATGTCTCTTCCTACAGCATGTACAGCAACAGAAAAACTGCTCTAAATAAAGCTACACCCCCTCCTCTCCCACATCTGTTAAACTGTAAAGACATGAGCACAGGCTCAACTTGTCTTCCATAAGTGCTTTATAATCGCCCTCTCCTCAGGGGGAGGTTGGGTTTTCTAACGTTCAGCTGACCACAGCTTTTCCAACGTACAGTTATACTGCCAAGTCTAACACAAAATCAGCCCGACAGAAACGCAAAACACTCTTCCGTGGTAATGAAGCAACACATAAAAAGATGCTCTACTCTAGGGATTGATCAAGGGTTTTTAAGACTACTTTTCCTTACAAATTGGTACAAAGACACCAAGCTCAGTGAGCGCCTCCACTTTCTCAAATATCAAACAGTATTCCTGAATCCATGAAGAATCTACTGTGTAACTTTCTACCCAGTGCTAATGTCAGGCCAACTAAAATGCAACAACTAAATCTGTATAATCAAATGAAATGTTCTGCATAGAATACGGTTCCTCATTCCTGAGTATCGTGGCTTTGACCTTATTATGCTGCATTAGTCATGAGGTCTGTGTCTGATGCACTGAGGGCTTCTATTTTAAGGAGAGTGGTGATGGTGGTATTGTTGCTCTTGGTCTGAACTTTAACTTGAAACATGGCCTTTTAAACTCTCCATCAATCTTTTCCATCACCTCTCTGCAGTGTCATATATAGAACTGGATCGATAGCATTACACCAACTCTGACACTGAGAGAGGCACAAGTCCGCCAAAGGTTTTGATACTATGTTCATCAGTTGCATCGTTTTATCAGTAATGCATGCCATCTCCTGATGCATAACCCTAAATGATTACCTTACCTTGAGTATTTCAATGTTTTGGTACTTTTTACTTCTACTCCACTACAACTCAGCAGTAAATCATGTACTTTTACTCCACTACATTTATTGTAGTCCTACACTCTGGTACTTCTTCTTTTACTTAAGTACACAGTCTGAGTACTTCTCCCACCTCTGTAGGAAAGGCTTTCTCCACGTATGGAAATTATGCCAGAGCAATAACTTTTGGAAGTAGATCTTTCATTAACATAATTGTTCATGCTGCTTCAAGCATATTATACACCGGAGCCAGAGACTGGATAGGCAACACTCAACTCAGGCAGCTTGCACGTCATATTCACTTTACTCAACTAAAATGTTCTCCTAAATATTAAGTCAGAAAATCATCCCTGCAACCCTGAACCCATGTGCAATGCCTCGTCCACCTTCATAACTTTATCCTCTGCACAGGCAGATTTGACGTTTAACCTACATATTTTTTAATGACAAGCAGCTCAATATTTGTCTCGGGTTTTTCACAAGAAACAGTTTACCTTCCTCGTATGCTTAATACAGATTAGATCACTGGACATTATGGCTCTGTGCATTTTCTGTAAAGCATGTGCATGCACTCATGCTTGAAAACTTGCCTGCGTGAGAATATGCGCCTGTCTGCCCAAGTATGCAGACATGCATACATTTATGTGAATGCACCTGTGTAAATCAGTGATTGTATTGCATGTCTCAGCCCACCCAAAAATCCATGATGTTCTGTGTGGGGTTTGTGAGAGTTTGTCCATGTTCTTTGTGTGTGTGTGTGTGTGTGCGTGCGTGCGTGTGTGTGTGCGTGTGTGTGTATTTGAGCCAGCAGGGCTCTGCCCCTTACCTAGTCCTAGCAGCGGGTGGTGTTCAACAAGTGCCCAACTGTTGTCGTCCACACAATGGCTTTTATAAACCAGGAGCTGGCACAGGTCCCTGGCTGTCATGTCCGCTGGGATCTCTACCACTTTACCCATGCCGTCTTCACTGAAGATCTTCACAATCTAGGAGGAGAAAATATAAATTTGAGTTATCTTACATTAAGAGGGATCATTTCAAGGAAGTCTGGTAAACTAGAGACGGAGGTGTTTCAAAAATGAAATCTTAAAAAAGGACAAGAATGCTGTCAAACCAGTTATAAGGATGTCCTTGATGTGAGGGAAATGAAGCTTAAGATTAATAAACTGTTACATCTGTCAAGGATACATTTAGCATGAGATGGTTTGAATTTACATTGTTATGGTAACCCCAGAAGGAACTCGCGATAAAGTCATTTAACACAAACCATTTTTTGAACACTCGGCCTAATAGGTGGGTGAAGCCAGCAATTTCCTTCAAACACTAGCACAGTATTTATCATATAGCGTCCCATACAATATAGAATACACAGGCCTGTAATTATAGCACACAATAGAAAAGAACAGACATTCAAAACTATGTAGCAATTGTGGTGTTAGAAATCACAGACAAGCAGTTCTTATAGCAACTTGTTGGTGTAATATAGAAGCAAATAAAGTGCAGTGCATAACAAGCGTCTGCCCTTGTGAACACAAAGAGGGGCAGTCTACACTGAATGGATACTGTACTGTAGCTTAAGAGGAAGTTAGCATGGTGTTTCTAATTATAGCTTATTGGAAAAGTGTTTTCTTTCTTCCAACTTCATAGACACAGGTATATGTTTTGAGCCAGTATTAATCCAATCCAGGAATTACAATCATTTTTATTTCAGTTTACATTAATAATACTGACTCAATACATACTCAGATACATATTTAGCCACTACTGACCTGTACACTGATAAACTGTATAGCAACAGTGCATCAGGCTCGGAGTAGGTTACACTCTAAGATCTCATCCGTGTAAGAGCCATCAATTTACATCCAGATATATTATTTTATATACTGGGAGCCTTGACTTGTTGGAGATCAAGAAAACATCAAGGAATTATATTTCCCATAACAAATTTAAAGTGGTAAATAGTCCTTAATTTCCTTATCTTTGCTTTTCAAAAGATAACCATATAATCCCATGTCCCACAGAAAACACAAACAGCCTCCCTAACCTGCAGATAAATCCAGCCTTGTTAGCCTACACAGGAATCCAGCCTACTAATCCTACGCATGTCATGTATGCATTCTACTTCCCACATAATATATGACATTACAAAGAAATTCTGTTCCCTTGGAGGGCAAAGAAGAAGCCTGTAGCCTCACAGTTTGTACAAACCAGGCCTGAGGCTCCTAACATGTCCAACATGTTCAAGAAGAAAGGCAAAGGAGCCTCAATCATTCAAAACCGCTGTCCTATTTGACGCCTTATTTAAACTGCTCTGCTCACATCTCGAAAAAAGACAAATTGTCTTCAGCCTTTAATGTATTTACACATTCCATATCTCGCCCCTGGCAGTACTTCAAAGAGAAATGGAAAGAGAGAATGAGGCAAGGAAAGGCAGAGACACACAGGGAGAGATAAGAGACACAGAAAGAGAGCGGTCTTACCTCAGCCCGCAATAGGCAGCAGTCCGGGGAACACGAAGGCATTTTTGGAGTGAGCCTGGCTCCCCACACACACACACACATATACACACAGTCAAACTCACAGTCACTAATACAAATCCGTTCAGTTTGTGTAGCCCTGTGTCCCTCCAGAGATACAGTGGCGACAGTTGACAGTTGTGCTACCTGTCACATAGCCTGCAGACAGTCCTTCAGTCTATGTAGGCCGCCAGCTCTGTCTTTCAAAAAAACAAAACTGTCTGTGTGACCTAAAGCTGCAGCTCACAAGACAGACACAGAGACAGTCAGTGATTGGATGGCAGCAGGTACAGTGCTTCCAGTGCCGGTTGAGTCTGACAACTATCTTTCTTTTTCTCTCTCTCTCTCCCTCCCTCTCTCTCTCTCTCCCCCTCACAAAGGGTTACAGCCTCAGCCACGGGCTCCGAGGCACACTGAATCAAACCACACGCTCACCAACCAATCATAAGGCAGCAGCAGGCTGATGTAATCATTCCCACACAGACCTAGACACACACACACACACACACCACACACACACACACACACACACACACATCACACACACACACACACACACACACACACACACACACACACACACACACACACACACACACACACACACACACACACACACACACACACACACACACACACACACACACACACCACACACACACACACACACACACACACACCACACACACACACACTCCAGCAGACACACAGACGCACAGTCATGCACAGGCAGAGCCAACTTTTTCAGACCTCTTCCAAGCTTCTCTGCTCCAGTTTCTGTGCAGAGCTCTGAGCGAGAGTTTTCATTTGAGAAGGGTGTGGGGCAGTGAGGAGGAGCAGGAGCAGGAAGAGAAAGAAAGGAGAAATTAAGGAGTAAAAAAGTTTCTCTTTGTCGCACTTCTTGTCTCCAAAATGTTCAGAAGTTTTCAAGTGAGGGCTAGCTTTCTTTCTCTTCCATGCTTCTCTTTTCCTCTCCCTCCCTTCCTCCCTCCCTGTGGCTTAACTTCGAACTCCCAGTCAGATCTCTCTGCCTCTTACAGCAGTAACAAGACTCATTACAGAGCAAATGAAATGAAACAAACCTGGAGCAGCACTTGAGCACTCAGACCTTCTTCTCCTCCCCTGGTGGCAAGCTTCGTGCCAACATTCTTTCTCACTAAAGAACAAAAAACCTTAAGACCTTTGCACATGCACACACACACAGACCCCCCCCAGCCCTCCTTTTAACTCTGATATTTAATACGGCATCTGACAGACAAAAGCCTTGACACACCCCGTCTGGGAGAGGCGAGAACAGCTTTACTCTGTCGTTGAAGCAACTTTTTCTTGGTTTTCCTATTTTTTTTCGGAAGAAGGAAGAGTATTTGTACATGTGTGGGTTAGGTGCAATCCAGGAATGAGCACAGTTCCACAGAAGGAAGGAGGAAGTAGTGGTAAAAGTGGTAGCAGTCAAAGAGATACTACTTCATTTACTATAGCGGGAAACTTTGGGGAGGGATGAAGGAAGGGAAAGGGGGAGTCTGTAGCTGGGGGAGGGGAAAGAGAGAGAGAAAAGTGTGTGTCGGTGTGTGTGTGTGCGTGAATGCACATCCACAGTCACACATGTGAGTGTGTGTATGGGATAAGGAGAACCAGGAAGATGAGAAAAGTGAAGGGAAAAGAGTGGGAAGCAGCAGCAAGAGGGAAAGAGAAAGACTGTCTGGTGACACACTGCAGCAGAATGTGTAGTGTGAATGCTTCCTACTGTTAACTACAGATCTGGCCTGCACAGCTGTCTGTCTCTCCCACCCACCCCCCTCCTGCCACTACACTCACACAGACGCACACCCACGTGTACGTCACAGTTAGTCAGCCGGAGGGGAAAGCCCCAGGAAGGCTGCACACATCACAAATGCTGCAATACAGGTTCTCACAGTTGCTCAATAGGGATAACCCTCCAGAGGTGGGGTCAAACGTTTGTTTTGCCAAAACTGTTGTGTTATGTCCAAAGTGAAGTTTCAAGCCCAAAAAGTGTTGATCAACCCACATTCTTAACCAAATGTTATGCCATAGTTAGTAGTAACTGTAAATATAAAAACGTTGCTGTGCCGCCCACAGCCCACATGTGGCATTAGCCTACCACAGAGGTTCATATGGAGCAGCAGAACTTCTAGCATTACGGGTTCAGTGTAGCGGGGTTTGCAAGTTGCAAGCCAGTGAGGGATCATCATCTTGTCACTGGAATGGCAGCTCTTACTTATTAGTCAGATTAACACTGCAAACAGAAGTGGGATCATGGAGACAAAAGTAACCTAAAGTCACATAATGCACTCGCAGTAAAGTGCAGGGAGAACTGACTATTCGATATTTGAAAAAACTGAAAAGGGTTTGTGAACAAATACATAATCATAGGAGATAAAGATACACATGGACATCCCCACTGTCTGCCATGTCCAAGCGAAGTCCTGTTTCATTTTATGGATGAGTAGAGACTTATAATTTCCATCCTCGTCTTAAGTGAACAGGGACAGTCAGATCTTTGCACACAAATGTCCAATGTTATCCCCTATCAGAGGTAAGGCTTTGTGTAAAAAGGAGATACAGTAAGAATAACTTGTTGCAAGTTATGAACAAAACTCAGTGCAAGTATGGTGATAAGAAACACGAGGAGGCTGAGCTAGTGGAGATGCACATCAGGACAGAGTGTAGGAAGCGGAAAGGAAAAGTGGCGTCTGCCAGGAGCAGCATGAATCAGCAGAAAAGTATCTCTTTGTGACATTATTAGAAACACCTCAACTGTAACTGGTGACTTTAACACTCAGACGATACTGATCAGCTGAGAGTGTACATGGATAAGGGCAATGACTAAATGTAGATGGATTTAGATGGGAACTGGTCTTTCATTAGCTGTGGAACTCGTATCTTGCTGTGTGGCGAAATCATAAGACTGCCTCGTGAGAGGAAGGAATGAGAAAGCAGACGGAGATGAGAGCAGAGTGAACCATTTTAACTGGCCTACTCTAGTTCTTGGTCTTCTACTTAAAGGCAAAGGATAGTTTTGTTAGTAAAAATACGAGGTACATTAAAGGCAGGGTAGGTAAGAATGGAAAAACCAGCTCGAGTGCGCTAGAATTTGAAAGTATGCAGCGGAAAAAAATCTGCCCCTTCCTTCAGACTTCCTTACAGAGCCCCTCCTCCAACACACACGAACGTGCACATGACCAATGAGGGCACGAGATAAGTTTGTGCCCAGATGGAAGGCTGACAGGCAGTTAGGCCATCCAGTTACTTTAGCCGGGCCGGCTAAAATGATTGGTCGTGCTTTTTACAGCGCTACGGCTTCCACAGATGACATTTTTTATTTATTTTTAATGTATTTATTGTCAAAGCATTTAATATAATCATTGCTATCGGGGTGTTAAGAGCATTCCATGGAATATAACAAAAAGTGTTTCTGAAGTGAGTTACCTACCCCACCTTTAAGTAGGATA